TATATATATATATATATATATATATATATATATATATATATATATATTTGCAAGTTATGGCAAAATGCATTAGAAATTTTTGCTGTTATATCTCCTAATGGCACTGACATATTGCAATATCGCTTTACGGTGTTATAATCACAACCACAACAAAGTACGCGTTATTATTAGGTAACGTGACTGCAATATTGCGAATTGTCAGTGAAATGCGCAACATTTCAGCACCCGTGTGAAAGGCGCAATTACATGACTCCGTTACGACAATAATGTCTTAAGAGAAGGAAATGCTAAAAGAAAGTGGAAAAGTGAAACTTCCCTCCCGCTATACGAAAAAAAAAAAACGAAACTGTACCTTGGGATCGTTGGATAACACTAAGGGTGGAAGATCCTTTATAGTTAGCAACGAAGTCATCACCATTTCAATTATCGTAGGTTGCAAATTGATTGGTAACTGAAACACCGAACAGCATGAAACACTCCATTAGAAATGCCTAATAGTATTACAATTTGCAACTCATCAATGTAAGTACATAACATACATGTAACATGTTAACACATGGAAAAAAAGGATTTGCTGCAGCAGCAAACTAATTTGCTATATATGAACAGTTAAACATAATTCGTTGTGTTAACTACTTTTTCTTTGCTACAGGAATCTATTTCCTTGCTATGATAACAAGGAAGGAATCTATTTCCTTGCTATGATAACAAGAAAATCTACTCGTACAGCAAGACAAGTGACTAACGCAGCAAATTTGCTACAGATGGACAACTAAACATAATTTATTGCTTTAGCTACTTTTTTGTTGCAGGAAAAACAGATTTTCTTATTATCTTAGCAAGGAAATTGGTTCTTACAACAAAGAAAAAGTGGCTAACATAGCAAATTATGTTTAGTTGTTTATATTTTTTTTTCTGTGCATGTTTGCTACTACGGTTTGCTTAGAGGACTTTTTCATAGGTCACCACCTCGTAATTTTTTTGTTTTTTATGTAATTATATAAAAATGACTTAACTTTTGACAATGTAGACATAGAAAAAGAGAATTTTGCCGTCACACGCTGTGACATTGATAGCAAACATGTTAAAAAATAGAATGTCTTTTAGAGGCCTCAAGCCTGATCTACAATATGCTCTTTGCGTTCTGTTTCTTGTCTTCTATCTTATTCTAGCTTAAAGCTTAAGATTTGAGTCAGAAATAGATAAAGAGAAAGAAGCAGGAAGCAAAGAGCATATTGTAGATCAGGCTTTAAGGTTCCTGGTCTCGTTACGGAACCTTGAATTGATGATGTCAGAAGAGAGAAAACGCACACGAAAAATTCTTGCATGCTATTTTTAAATAAAAAGATGTTTATATGAAGGAACACTTTAGATGACAAAAATATGAAGAAAAGTAGAAAAAGGCTGCATGTCATGTTAATTTTACGACTATTTATTAACTGTCAAGGGAAAAGGATAGTTTTTAGAGTTTATGGGAATTTTATAAGAGTATGCTTAAGTGATTTGAAGTATTTTTTCATACAAATATATTTTTATTCGAAAATAGCATATAAGACCATGCGTTTTTTTACTCCTGACGTTAATTATCAATTCTGATATCATTTCGAAGTAATGAAATCAGAAGCCTTAATGTATCTTTGGTAAATATATAGAAAATTGGTGTTACCTCGGATGAATTTGACCTTGACATATGTTATCAAAGTGACATATGTTAACAATCAAAACGACGCTTTACGCGTCGCTCGTTGTTCATTAAAAAGTTATTAATAAAAGAAGTTTGGCCCATCGAAGGTGGCACCAGTTTTCTGTGTATTTACCGTATCTTTTAGAAGTTTGTGTTGCCTGAGGTATCACATATATTTCATACACGCGGGACCTTACCTTTTTTGTGTGAATACCGCGCTCGTTGAAGTGATTCGCCGCTTTCAAAACGCATTGCTCGATTTCCGGTAATGTCGGCCGAATGCCGTACGAGTTGTCTATCTTTGGCAGATAGTAAACCTTTAATTGCTTTAGATCGACCGGTACAGTTAGGCGCAAATCGTGATTGCACTTTGACGTCATTACTTTTATAAGCAGTTCGATATCCTCCGCGTATCTAGCCAACGGGCCCACGCTAAAACAACTTTGGAATAATTTATCCTCGCAATAAGGAAAGCATCCCTCGATAGAAATCATTTCTGCAATGTAAGAAGGAAAATGTAATTAGCAAAATCAGGAAGTGACGTCTTACTTGTAACACCGTTGCCATTACAAGCTACCCAGATAGCACAGAGAATTTTAAAAAAATCAAAAACAATTCAGTTGTATGTCACCAATTCTGAGTTCATTTGGAGATGCAAAAGAATTTTTTTGCACCCAAAAATAAACTCAGAATTGGTGACGTATGACTGAATTCTATTTGAATTTTCTGTGCTACCTGGGTATTTTTCAATAACAAGTTGATAATAGCGTAGTTTTTTCATTAAATAACGGTAAAGATAATTGTGATTACATGTTTTTGGTGACTTTGACGAATATAATCGTTATTTTTATCGTTGCTTTGCAGCGAATTGTAAAGACAAGTTCTTCGGAACTTGGTGAAGAAAGTAACAGGGTTTGCAACGATTCGTAGCTTCTTGAATAATGGTAAAGGTAACGATAACGGTCGCGCCTAAAAAGTAATATCCCCAATCTTGCTAATTAGCATAAAGATTAATATTGATAAGTTAACGATTCGAGGCAACTGTCGATTTTTTATGAAATTAGAACTCCGAGGAATGAATTTAAGAGAAACAAGCTTCGAATAAATTTAAAGAAAAATGAGTCAACTCACTAGACGTTGGTCTGTATCCGAAAACGCCGCAAAAATGCGCCGGTAGCCTTATAGAACCGAGCAAATCAGAGCCAATCCCGATTAAGGAAGCACCTGTTGCGAGTAATGCAGCCTGAAATGAAATTAATTAAATCAATCAATCAATTATATAACTCACAATAAGCTAAATTCTCATTACATTTAGAACTATCTTAATTTCATCCTAAAATACTATGTAGACAATGGCAGTATTTTAAGAGATAAACTTAATATGACCTTAAATATGAAATTAAGCTATGAATACCGCTTTATAAGGATCATGACCGATAGATTAATAAAACGTGTACTGAGATAATCTTTTAAATAATCATATATGTGAATCGCGATGGGACGGATGTGCTCAACAATTTTTCTGGTGCGATATTTTATTATAAGCAAGATTGCTAATATTACGATAACGGTTTAACAAAAAAGCATAAGGATCTTCAGATAGCACAGAGAATTCTAAAAGAATTTGGTCACCAATTCTGAATTTATTTTTAGATGCAAAAAGAATTCTTTTCACTGAACTGAACTCTGAAGAATTCTTTTTGCATCTGAAATTAAACTCAGAATTGGTGACATACGACTACATTTTTTTTTAAATTCTTTTTGAATTCTCTGTGCTATTTGGGGTTAGGATTAAGAAGTCTGATTTGTTGTCATTAGACGTTCATATTAATTATATTAAGAGCGGAGTATCATTAAGCGTAGTATTATCATGACGGAGAATTCATTGGAAGAGATTCTATAAAACATGTCACATCTGAGGCCCTATTCTGGACGCGTAACGAAAGTTAATTAAATACGCCCTTTTAATTCCAAATTCCATATTTCTTCTACAAGCGTCACGTATAAAGTTGTTTCGTTATGAGAATCACAAAGACACATTTAGCGTTCGATATACGTGCAGAATGAGACGTTTGCCTAAAAGGCAAGTTTGTCATACTCTACAAGACGAAAATTTTGGTTAGGAGAACTCGCGAAATCAGGGCACGTATTATGAAAATATTCAGAGAGCCCGATATAATATGCCCGATCGGAATAATCCTGTTTTGACAGCACAATAAAAATCTAAAAAATAAGTAGTCTAGAAAAGAAGTAATACCGACCGGAATCTTTCTCGAATAGAGTTTCATAATACTTATTCGGTTTCAAACGCGATATCGCGTGCGATTAGAATTACCTCTCCGCCGGACGATCCACCGGGTGAATACCTGGTATCGTAGGGATTAAGAGTGTTACCGTACAGTCGATTCGAGGTGTCTAAATTACTGCACATTTCTGGGGTGTTCGTAACACACAGCGGGATCGCGCCGGCATTTCGAAGCAGCTCGACGACGGCACTGTCCGCGGTCGCTTTTACCCCTTTCCGTGTTAGGGAGCAACCGGTGTAACTAGCACCTGTAAACGTGATCGTCGTCTTAATACGGAACTCTACATTTACACGTCTCCCTCACTATGCAGAAAAGGTTACGTTTACACTCTGCATTTAGACTACGGTCTGTACTTCAAATTCAACTTAAATTACATTATCCGACAAAATTTGACTTTTTTTTTCCTGTGATTCGCAACTACTATTTTTTTAGTAAATTCGAGGTCGCTGAATCCAAATCCGCCAGCAAAAAATGCCCATCACGTCAAGTTTTTGAGATAAATCCAGTAATATAGGTAAAAAAAACTGCATTTTTTGCTATATTTTCCAATTTTTTGTGGCCAAACAAAATTTTATTTTTCAATTTCATTAATGCCACTTTAAAGTGCTATTCTTCATCTTTAAGACGAATTTTTAAAGTTGCCGCAGATTCTTTGAACTGTTATCTAATACTGCGCACAAAGGAACTGTAGTTCAAGTCCCATAAACATCTATTATAGATATAACAGAATATCTAAATAGAAGATTTAAATTATCTAAACAGTTGATAAATGACTTGATTCAAATAAGGCTCGTATTTCAGTCGGTTTAGTTATTTGACCTGAAATAGGGCGTCTGCCTTTTTGATGTAAACGCGCGACGCAGTTCAGAAATTTAGACTCGGATAGATCAGACCGCTAAATGTAAACTGGGCTATTACATATATGGTCTATACATATTGGAGACAATGTCAAACCGAAAATATGGATATATCAAATGCAAAAGCAAAGATACACACCAAATACATGGATACAGGATATACAATAGATATGGACTGAAAACTGGACCTTGTTACAATATCATATCATATATCGGTAATACTGTGATATGAAACAAGTCTATAAATATCCAAAAGACATTCTATTTTTTAGACATTTTTTTAATAATTAGCGCTGTCTGGACCTATTATTAATTAATTAATGCTCACATTTTTCTAATAAGAAATTTTAAAACGGTGCAACTTTATGTGTAAAGACTTTAATGCCGATCTGTACTCATATTTGCTTGTCCAGTCACAATGGCTAAACTATAATACTTTTTCTTCTCAATAAATTTTGCAACATATCCGATGAAAAAATCTATTTTTGAGTAATTTTTTAAAGAGATAAATTTTCTTATCGGATACCGGGTGTGCTGCAAAAAAGTTTAATATAACGTGATATAACGATGATGTAATGTAATTTCCTGGATATCAATTATGAATTTTTTTTTCTCTAGCACAAACTTATGAAAAGTGGAAATTTTCAAATGTGAAAGCATATAAGAATGTTCACTTTTCACGAGTTTACATTAGCGAAAAAAATTGAAGATCGAAACCCTCAAATATTGCACTGTATTAGACTGTATTACACTGTAGTGTAAACGCCACGCAGTTAGTATGTGCAAAAAAACGAAGTCTTAAGCCCAAATATAAAAAGTCAAAGATAAAAATATCGTTGAATTTGCATATTAATCGTTTCTCATTCTAATTTGAGAAACGTGTAAATTGCACATGCGATCAGGAATAATAGTTGAAGGAAATCGAAGCATTTATAAAGGTATTGCGATCTTCCGGCCATTAACTGTGTACCACCGTTCATGCGTTTACTAATAATGCTACAATTTTTGCGATATAATGTAGCTCGAGACGAGAAAAAAATTACCCGATTTGAGGCATTCTTTTTGCAAAGCGATCTCTACATACTGCTACAAAAATATGAGCTGATTACCTTTGACAGCGTAGCATTCTTTGATGGTGATTGGCACTCCGTAGAGCGGCTTTTCCTTTTCCAACGTTTCGGCATCGAATTTGCCCGCCAACTGCTCGTCGCAAATTTTTGCCTCTATTATAGCCGGTCCATATCGATTGTCCACCACGGCGTTTAAGACACGATTCACTTCTTTTATTCGCTCTGTATATGCGTACACCACTTGGTAGCTCTCGATCTATTTTTTCTCGGTATTGCGGAAACATACGGATGATTTTCTCTATTTTTGCATCTCACGTCGTGAGAGAGAGAGAAAGAGCGAAAGAGAGAGAGAGAAAGAAAAAGAGAAAGAGAGAATTATAAGATCCATTTTTTGGATGCAACTCACCTCTCGCTGTCGAATCATCTTAGCGAGCTTGGTGGCGCTTATTGTGAACAGGGGATCCGGCTGGGATATTTTTAACGGCTTCTTCCGATAGATGAATGACAATATCCAGTATGATATGTAATACATGATGTTCATTATAAAGAGCAACGTGCGCATCGTTCGATGTATCTTCTGTAATGTAAACACGCAACTGAAAAATGCATTGACATTGGTGCGTGCAAAGGAATGTAGTCACGTCGGCGATTGAAAAAATGCTGCATTGTGTCGATGCGTATTAATATAAAAGAGATATGTGAGTTATATATGCAATCAAGAATGACAATGACTTTATTACACGTGACAAGATCCATCGCTGGTGCAATTTTCGTTTTGTTTTCTTTAAGAGAATTAATACGTAATATTATGTTTACATAATACACATTTGTATACAGAGAATATGACAATTAATGACACAATAAGCATCTCCATTTGATAACAATGAAACACTTAAGAGAATTCTTACTCTGTCGAGTAAGTGTGAATCGAATTACAGTGTATAAAAAAATACCTTCGTTCTTTCTAAGCGCAACAATATATATATATATATATATATATATATATATATATATATATATATATATATATATATATATATATATATAT